AGCAGGTTGTCCAGGACCATGTCCAGACAACTCTTGAGTATCTCCAAGCATGGGGATTATCATTGAGGGAATCAGCAAATATACCAAAGAAGCATTTAAACAAAAAACCCCCAAACCCCAAACAAAGTACCTTCCACCTGCAAGGAGTAGCATGGGTAATAGCAGTGAACTGCTGTAAATTTTTGCCCCATGAAAATGTCAAATGTTGTTCTTTTCTCTATTGTCCTGTTACTGCCCCACAAGTTCTGCTGAGATTTTCTGATAATCCTCACTCTGCTTCAGATAATGTTGGCTGAATTAGCCTAGATTGTCTTTGTTGACTCTTCTTCCTTTAACTTTACCTGAGGTGTGATCTCTTGATAAATAACTCGGGATAGAATGTCTTTAACTGATAAAAAAAGGGCATCCGTTCACAGCTCTGGTGTAAAGACTATGGTGCTGTGTCGCCTTACACACGCTGAAGGTAGATGGAGTAGAACTTCATGTTGGCACGCATTTACTTGTTCTAAGAAAACTGAATCATCCTTCTTGTGGACCACGGTACTTAGCTCCCCACTACAGTAATTCTTGGTTGTACTGCACAGGGAAGTTTTAAAACCTAAAGTCTCACCTGTTGGACATTAGTTTTATCCAGCATCTTACAAGAAAACCTACAAAGGCAGATAATTTTCATTTAAACCCTTTATTATTTGAGGATATTGATGTTCCCAAGGAGACTTGGTATTGGCTAGAACCTGAAGAGGAAGACAAAAAGGATGAGGAGGACAAGGAAGATGAGCGCGCAAGCTCAGACTTAAGCGTAAGTTCTGCAGCTAAATTAACGGCTTGATTCAGAATGAAATTTACTGTTCCTTGTAAGAGTATGTATACATGTATGAAGGATATACCTATACATGTCACTTTTCAAGCTGTAGTCAACAGGCTCTCTGCAATCTCGGAGCAGTGATTTTGATAGCAGTTGCACAATAAAATATGAAACATTAAACCACTGATTTATTGCTTGGCTGTTTTGAAGCTGATCTTTGGAAAAAGTAGCCTAAAAATTAAATTCTAAACATTGTTGTTTCTTAGCCGAGATATGCAAGACCATGTCTTTGATCAAAGTTACTTGCTTTTGAGTTTTAATTTGAGATGCCTCATTTCATGTCTTAGGCTGAATTTTGGAATCACTAAGCAGTTTCTGAAAATGCTTCACAGATTATCTTAAGATGGACACTGGAAATTCACATTTTTTTTGAGAGCGAGATTACACAGCTGTTGTTAGCCTTAGGTGTTTGATTTGCAGAGGTTAGGTGTGAAAAATCCCACCAAAAATATCATATACTTGAAATAAGGCAGCAGGGTAGTATTTTTAGCTCTCTTCAGTGCAGGTTTCTTAGCTGTAAAGAAGGATGAGCAAACAACAGCCATTAACTTCCCAAGACTGTCAGTTCCTGTGCTGCATGCTACAAATTCGTGAAACTTCATGCCTTACTGTGTTAGTACTGTGTAGCTTCTCCATAGCAAAAGGTTAAACAATCTTTTGTAGCAAAGCTAGCAGCTCCAACTGGTTTATGTCACGTGAGCCCCAGATCACGGTATGCCTGCACATTTCTCTAGCTATCAGAAAAGCTACGCATCCTGACGGCCTATTTGAGAGAGAACCACTTCTATTGCATTTGGTGTGGAACAACCTATGAAGGTGAGAGGAAACCTGTCTTGTTAGTGGTTAACTTTGCTTATGTAGCTAGACTCAAACAGTACCATATATAATAATATTTATATAATGAGTTATATAAAATACACTGTATATAAGTTCCTCTTACTGTGGTCTTTTAAATCTACATGGCATGTTTTCTTTCCATGCTGCTGGTTTTGGCACAAAGCTTTGTCTATCTTGATTATAAGCCATTTTTTATGTCTTGACATACACCAAAAAAAAAAACCAAAAACAGAACCACAACCAAACGTGCTGGCATTTATTTGAATTGGTACTTGTATTAATTTTGTTTTGAGAAAACAGAACACAGATATTAAAGCTAGTACAATAAAAACCCACGAAAGCTTGCAGCTGTCTCTGAAACAGTTAAAACTCCGTCCAGTTTCACTGCACCAAAGAGGGTAGAATTTGTGTTCACTTTGTTAAAACAAAGTTTGGAGTTAATAACTTGCAAACCTTCTTGAATCCTGTTTAATCTGCTTTAGATGGAGTCTTCAAATAGTTCTAGGAACTCTTCCCCCACCTCCGAGCCAGAATTACTCACTTTTTCTCTGCTTATCCTGTAGACTCTGAAGATTTATCTTCAAACTGCCCTGGAGACAGCGCTGCAGACCACGACTAAAGCCCTCCTGAAGGAAGGAGTCCTGCGTAAGTATGTATAGTTCCTGGCTTCTAGAAGGTTCGGAGCTGTGGCATACTGAAGAATTCACACCAAAGTGTGCAGAAGAATGGTTATGTTGACAGGTTAAACTCACATTATCCATTTTCTGCTTGATGCACAATTTAAAAGGAATTAAACCTTAGCATCTACAACTGAACTGCCATAATGGAGAGGCAGGTTAAGCCTCCAGTTGAGGAGGAGAATCGGAGAAAAAGACAAGGAAGCTCACGAATTGAGATAAGAACAATTTAATAATTGAATATAAATTAATAAAATAGTGATGATAATAATACTAACAATACTACTAATAATATGTAATTAAAATAATGAAAAATGAAGTAAATAATACAGTTGATCACCACTTGCCGACCAGTGCACAACCAGGTGCCGAGTAGCAAAAGCCAGAGCCCAAGAGCAATCGTAGCAGAGTCCAAGCAAGCCGCATGAGAGAGAGAGTGACTGAGAGAGTCAACTGACCCACCAGCTCACCAGCTAACACGCACCCGAGCTATTGTCCCTCAGCCCACCCCCAGCTTATAGACTGGGCATGACGTGCTATGGAATGAAATACCCCTTTGGGTCAGCTGTCTGAACTGTGTCCCCTCCCCGCTGCTTGTAGTGAAAAAGTCGGGAACACAGGGGCAGTATCAGAAGCTGAAGAAGTCCTTGATTTGGTCCAAACACTCCTTAGCACCAGCTACAAACACCAGAGTTACCAGTACTTTTCTCAGGGGAAGTCCAAACCAGCCTTGTACCAGCTGCTGTGAAGGAAATGACCTCTGTCCTGACTAAAAGCAGCACACTATCTTAGATCTGGTGAGGAAACAAAAGCTTGTGAAACAGTACAGTGATGTTACTTGAACCACTATTCTGTTGTATGTAAAGGTGCATGTTTAGCATAACTAAATAGTACCAGATCATGCTGTTGTTTTGTTTTTTTTTTTCTAATATAAAAAAAAAATACATTTTAACAGACCTCTTAGGTTGAGGGAACAGCAGTTACTCTCTAAACAGTCACTAACAGAAAGGTAGTGCTCAAGTATACAAATGCTAGGAAAAAACCCAAAGGATCAAAACCGACTGGGACAAGCTCAGTATTATTTAACAATAAGAAGGTAATGGTATTACGGTTGCTCTGTTCAAGAACTGTAAAGCGTATTCAGCCAAAGTTTGTCACACACCAGTTTTCATATTACAAGAGTATTTTATGGGAGATAGGGAAGAGAAAGCAGGATTAGTGGTATTTTGTCTGTGTTGGGATATCATTTCTCCCAGACCTTGACCACTGCAAGAAAATACCAATTAATCCAGAATAGTGAAATGTTCTGTGTATTTGTGATTCATGATAAGGAGAAAAAGACAACTTCAGGCCTTGTAAAAGGATGTACAATCAGATTGTTATTTAACAACAAACATTGGCAGCAGATCAGCAGTAATTTCCATAAGAATATAAAAATTACTATGCATTCATTTATATTATTCCATTTAACCAAGAACCTGTTTTTAACCCATTTAACATTTCAGAAAAAGCATACAGTACTACCTGTAGAATCTATTTTTCTGCTTAGAAATTTCTGCTCGTTTGCCTTTATGGCGTTAGGTGGGCTCCACAGCAACAAACAGTTTGGCAAGATACAGCTCAAAGACAAGCACCTGAAGGACTAACGTGCCTGTCTCTTTTCCCTGCTCCCCACCAGCACCCTCACAATTGGTCTAGTCCAGGCAAGTCTGAACGCTTTCAAGTATGTAACTAAAGAGACAAATGCCTGTTACCTTTGTGGGGCTGACAGTAAGGCCGTCAGAGATACCCGGTGTGCTTGCCTCAGTGTTATGGTAAGGGATTAGAACATGGCAGCATGGGAGAGAATGTTACGGTGCACTCTCAGCACAGGATTTCTAACGGTTACTACTGTGGAATTGGGAGAATTTAAGTGTTCTGTTCAGGAGAAAAATCAAACTCAAACCCTAAGGTTTTCAAAAGTTTAGAAGAAATCTAAACTAGATTTCCTAGAAGGTGAATGCTTAGTTTAAAAGTATCTATTTTCAATTTTAGAGCAGTGAAGGTGCTAGGTGTTCAATGGGGGTGCAGAGACAAGAAAATGCACCTTAAAGAACTGGAATTCAGATACCTATTCCTAGTATCTTCTCTGCCAAAATTAGTCTCGCTATTAAAAACATCACTGTACAAATCAGAAGGGTTTGAAGCACATACCACAAGACAGCGCTTCTTCCATGAAAAGCGATGGATAACGTCAGCCGATAACAGATGCAGCACATCATTAATGCCATGCATACAGGGATTTGCCACAGGCCACTTAGCACCACATCAATTTAATTTCCTAGGAGAAAAGGACTAGGTTCCTGTACTTAATTGTACAGTATAGTTCAGCTCATCCACAACCTGTGTTTCCAGGTAGAAATTTCAAGTGATCGCTTCCTGTCCTGGCGTGCAGCTGGTGGACGTGAATAGTGATGCAACCCTTCTGGCGGACGAGCTCCTCAATGGTAGGAAGGTGAAACGCCACGGAAAAGACAAATCCCAAGTCTTGCTGTTGCTTCTGACACTTACTGCTATTTCATCAGTCTCAACAGACATCGAACCCCAGATCTAAACACACTCAGAGCCTTTGAAAGGGGCATTTAGTGAGTATGAGTTTTAAGTGAGCTGTTTTTATCAACAGACTTTAAAAAGTCAAGTATTTCAGATGCAGAGTATCTTCCGGAAGGGTCTCTTGAAAGCATCTTTCTGATAATGGGTGCCTGCAACAAGAAATTACGTGTCAATAAATTATTTTTACGAGTAAATAAACTAACTGAAATAACATATTGAAATCCCATACCTGTGCTGGAAATTGGCTGGTGAAGTGCTCTGGAAGTTTACCTTCTCTAACATCATGCCATACCTGAAATGCATAAAAGAACAGTTTCAGTATGTTTACGTTGATTATATGTTGCATCTCACTTTATGACCCATATAATTTACCAGAGTAATGACAAAGACACCAAAAGGTAAGGCTCCAAAAACTATAAACAGTTGGAAAGTTTTTTTCCACTTTGTTGTACTCTGGTTTGCTTTTATGGTCTTTCCATCAGCTCTTCTCTCTTTGTAACCTTAAAGGCTTCACACTCTACAACATTGTGTTTGTTTCAGCAATCCTATTTCAGAACCATTACCTTTCTTTAAAAAGTAGTGGGTTTATATCTTCTTTACCACATCAAAAAAAAGGCACCAAGATGACTACATTTCCTACTTTGGATGTCAGTTTACAAGCCAAGCAGGTGTGCTTCCTCCCTTTTACCCTGTTCAGTACCACACGCTTTTCTCTGGCATTGCAGAATACGGTATGTGGCATTCACAGCAGCTGACATATGGAGGATCTCTAATTGTACACTTTCAGAAACGCTTCTGGGTGACAGTGTTTTCCACATGATGTATCTTTCTGGGTGAACAGGGCCATCCACATCATTCACTTTGCTGCTAACATGTGCCTGAAGAAGATGACAGTCATATTCTTGCACACTTAGCTGTGCATCCTGTATTGTTGGCTAGTCTTACGGATGCTCTAGCCTGGTTTAGCAAGCCCTTATGATCAGTATCTAGTAAAACAACGGCTCCCGTGAACTTCAAGCTTCTTCCCTACTCTTCAGCAGTAGCTTTAGGCCTGCATCGCTACCTGCCGCTGATCATCAGCTGAGGAACTCAGCTCACAATCATCAGCTTTGCTTTTGCATGGTGTTGTTTGGCAGGGCTTGCCAGCACCATGCAAGAGTTTATCGTGCTCCATTAAATGAAATTGGGTTTTAAGCTGATGGAGCAGCGAAGACCACTGTAGGACTTCCCATCCACGTGACTTCCACACCTGCCTACAGAGACAAGATTTTTATGCTTCAAGGAAACAGGACTAAATAATTGGTCTTGCCCTTTTGATTGTAAACAAGGTGTCTTAGAAAAATACTACAAGGTAACCGAGCAGAGCAGAGCTGAATCTGGGAATTGAGCAGACATGATGATACGGTTTTCTCAAACTGGCAAAAGGACCAAGCTAATGGCGTTCAAGAGCTGCTGGGTCCAACCATGTGTCTAGAATTACATAGATCTTACTTAAGATACTCAGCAGCTACATCACTGTCCTGCAAAACCAGGTTTGAGCATACAAGCCATTACACTCAATGTGCAAAGCACCGAGAAAAAGCAAAGACACATAAGAGACCTTTTCAAAAAAAGCTGAATTAACACAGGTTTTGTTTCAGAAGTAACATCTTTTTCAATTTAAGCTACAGTTTCCAAATCACTTCTGCTTTCATTTTGGAAAACTGCAGGTGTTTTGGCTTGAGAGGAACTTTGTTCTTGCTCCGCTGTGCAGCGAAGACAAGAGTGTGGCAGAGACAAAACTCTCCCATTCATTCTTTTGTAAAATTAGAAAAATATCCCCTTTAAATACTCCGATCAAAAAGATTTATCAGTAAGTCGGTAGCTTTTTGCTAAAAGTTTTTCTTTAGCAGGCTTAAGCTTTACTGGGCATTTTTGGAGTACCTTACTGCTGTCAGTAGCACGTAAGTGGAATAAAACCTGTAATACTCCTTCACTCCAGTTACCACATTTCAGACGAGGTGTGAGGGCTTACGGGCCTTAGAGAAATGAACGCACGGGACAGCAGACAGTACACAGAATTCCTCCAGCACACAGCCAGCATGTGATACCAGCAGCAAGGCAAAACAATAACACTTTTTTTTTAATTTAAAGATTACATACCTTCATTTTCTCATGACAAGTCAATGCCAAAAGAATTTCAAACCAAATTAATCCCAGCGCATAAATATCTACTTCATTTCCGTATCTGTCCCCGAACTACAAAGATTAGAACAAGAACAATGTAGGAATCAAATCCAACTGGCCAGCACTTCTTAAAGCAAAATCTGAAGTCAGTAGCAATTTCCACCCCAAGGCTACAGGACTCGTCCTACTTGAGCTTCTTACTGGTCATTAACCCTTTCTGCTACAGACGTGTTAAATAGCGACTATTAGGTCACATTAAACACCCTAAAGCTACGACAGACCTGTACAGGTAAGGCATGCCAGGATCTCTCTCAAATAATGAAAGGAAAGGGCTCAAATGCCACAGTTAACAGAGATCCTAAATTCAAACTGAAATACGTGGCTGGCTGGAGCGTTCCTTTCAGCCAGCACTAGCAGACCCTGCAGGTCAGCACACCGGAACAAAATCGCCATGCTTGCAGATAGCTTTCTCCAGAATACAGCTGTCCTCGTGTGCAGTCATACCAGGGAACTCTAGGCAACTTGGCTTAGTACTGAAATTCAGATTAGGAACATCCAGCGCTGAGTTTTTAATGCAAATCTAGTTACAGAGACACTAATATAGCAGGATAATTACCTGTTCTGGTGCCATATATGACTTTGTTCCTCTGTTCTCAGTCAGAGTCTCATACGCCACAGACGTCACAAGACCAAAATCACCTATTTTTATTTTATCTTCGTGTGATATGAATATATTCTGAGGCTATATATACGTATTAAAACAAACAAAAAAAGATATCAACATATAACCAAGGCTTGTTGTCAAGCATAATGAGCCACAGAAGCGCTCCCCATAAAATTTGACAATTGTTTGCAGAAATTATCATTAAGCAACCAATGGGGTGGGAAACAGAAAAATGTTTAATTAATTAACCAAAAAAACCCCACCTAAATTTAAAATAGTGCATGCCACAGTAACTGCAACTTTTTTCCCACTAGCTCAGTCACAACTGCATCATGTTTTAGTGCTCTTCAAATACAATGTGCACCTGACATTTCATATCCAGAAGTGCTTTTTAGGCTTCCGTCCTAGCCCTGGGACTTGATAACACTCAGGCACAGCATTTAGGCTCACATGGAACTCCACTCAAACCACAGTTTCTCCCAGGCACAGCAGGATGATCTGTACTGAGTCAATTGCGGTTAGGGCTTAGTACAGGTCTCTCACAGTACCACTTTTAAGTTTCAACTGAACTTCCCATTTTTAAATTTGACAAAGTCATAAGCAACTAAAAGGAGAATTGTATGTGCTTGGATGAAGTTTCCTAAAGAAGATAAAAAACCTACATTTCTGAATATTACTAAAACAAAACCAAGTAGCTTCATGCTGTCTTTTACAGAGAAGCTCTAGTGGACTGTAAGGCCAGGAGAGACGTAGTATTTAACAGGAAGAGATCTCTGTTCAGGAATGTCTGATACAGTTCTTCTGTTGTAGTTTGACTGTGCCCACACACCTGTAATGCAGTACCTACACCTGGCTACACTGTCTGAAGATGCCATACCAGGCACAGACAGGATTCATCTCAGCTTGAACCTACCCTGCAGCTTTGATGGTGGGACAGAGATCTCAGATGGCCAAGCATCTAAGTTGACAGCAGATCAGAGTGGGAGAAAAGATCCTAAATTAACAGGACTTGGAAGCACGTTACAGCCAGATGCCATGGATAAGGGACTGAGCCAACAGATACATAGGAACAGGGAAAAGTAAGAGATTGAGCTGAGATGAAAATAAAGTAGGACTGAAGGAGCAAGGAAATACAAAGCACTCAGAGTAGGAAGAGCTAGGAATTGTGGGTGAAAAGGCACTTATTAGGCCTCTTTTTCCCAGGCACATAGGAAAATAATGAATGTATATTTGTGGTTCATTCCAGTATTGTAGCAATAAGCCCAACAGAAAAGCTCTAGAAGACACATTTGTATTTGTAAGACAAGATTCTGCAAGTGAGCAGTGAACATGATCTGGAACTGTGAATGCAAAATACTTCAATCTCTGGCTCAGAAAGTCCATAAATTTCAAGTTACTGCAAGTCCTGAGAGGAAGGGAATATGCATCACTATCATCTCTCAGCTCTGAAAATCTCTAGGTGTTTGGAATTAGCCACTATACAAGGAGAAGAGCATCCTAGGTCAACATTTAGTGTGACCCACTGCAGTTGTTTTTAGGAACACCACCACACTAACGACTTTTCCACAAAGTATGCGATTTAAAACTCTGTAAGCAACGTCATAGCTGGCCTATATAAAGCCCTGAAGTCTTGCAACTTCATCCTTTGTAATCTTTATATTGAAATAAAATGTTTTTATGATTGTGCACTTGTAGAGACTGAAGTTCTACCCAAAAAAGTAGCACTGAAATATATGTATGCATACGTGGTACAAGAGCAGCAACTGGAGTATGTTGTACTCAGACACAGCATATATTAGGATAGATAAACTATCCCTTTACAACGTGGCAAGGGCAAGCTTCCTGCACTCAACTTTTGACATTCTTTCCATTATTTTACCAAGTAAAGTTGGTATTTGTTGTTCCAACAGGCAGTCTTGTGACCCAGTAACATGTAATACATGGAAAATGCATGTTAACTCCTGGCTACTGACTTTTTGACCTAGTGCATTCCGAGATCCTCCAAGTTTACCTTCTGATTTGAGGAAGAAGTCCAGCCAGTTGCTGGAAAAAAATTCGTCACTAGCAATATCAGAAGAGGCACGCTACTAGGGTACATAATCGATGAAACATATTCGAGGACAATATAACATTTTCTGAAATTCCAGTAAGTACTATTTTTATCTTTTTTTAAAATAGCCTATCCTACTTACCTTGAGGTCTCGATGGATTAACCCTACAGAATGAATATAATTCACTCCTCTCAGTATTTGTAAAAATTTGTTTTGTGCCATCTCATGATACTTTTGGTCGCGTCTATTCTTTTCAATCCAGTTTTCCAATGGTCCTTGTTCACATAACTCCATTTGGATGAAAAGGCAGAGAACTTCTTGGTCTGACTTCTGCCTGCAAAAGAAAATTATATACCGTACTGAAATGAACAATTCCCCTTCCATTTTATTCCTCATTTACTAAGCACACTGGACAGATACCATGCCAACCATCACTTTGAACCCATTAATACTTCATGGCTGTAGGTAAGTGTGGGAACGTATCCAAAGGGTAGGAATTGACAGCTAGTGAAAAAAGCTTACCACAGAGGCTTTGAGAAGTTAATAACCTACATACGAGGAAAACTCTCACCACCCTCTCCCCAGAAGTGTCACTCTCGAAAGACTGCCTCTAAATGAAAGCATTTCCATTTGCATTTCTGTTTCAGGCAGCAGGGTTAACATGCTAACTTAGGGAAATAACTGAGTCTGAGAGCTACTGCCTGACCAGTACTGACTTAAAAAAGGAAACTTCCAGTCAGGAATTTGGCAGCTAGCAGCCAGACATTTCTTCAGTTTCTGTTGTTAATTTTGAGTTCCGCATTCTTACACTCCTCTATAGATTATGCAAGTTCTCTGTGTTGAGAGAGGAGAAAGATAAAATTGCATTATCATCTTACTCATCAAGGAAGAGGAGATACAAATATACTTGATTATATACAAGCGGCTGCTGAAAAGCACTGTGCCTCTTTTCCTAACAGTGTATGCGTGTATGTGTATGCGTTTCTCTTTGCGTAAGGATTTACAACCTGTTGTCAGCCTTTCTACAAGACAAAAATCACTATGGCAAACAAGTTTGTGAGTGCAAACAACCGTCTTGTAGTTACCTTGAGTCTGGACAAGTCATGTGGTCGTACCCCTTCCAGCTACAGTAATACCGCACTATGTTTTCATGGTCAAGTCTTGCAAGTTCTTTTATTTCACGCTTTACGTTCCTATTTGGGAAGCGGGGGGTGAAAGGAAAATATAAGTGGCATTTCCCTATAAAAATGTAATACTAGGAGAAGCAAAAGACATGACATCAAGTAGCAGTACAGAGAGTTTTACATTACTTCAGAAAAAAACCCACCGTGTTTTCCTTCATACAAGTTAAAATTGTAGTTACAAATTCTGGGGTTTCTTTCATCGGCTCAGTTATTCAAAGTGCAAAAACGTTTTAACCCCATTAGAAATTAAAGTTCCACTCAAAAAAAGCAGATAGTTGGATTGCATAATTACATTAGGTAGCCAAACACAACATAGCAAACACCTACACTTTCACCTCTGAGGTTTGTTTACACAGACAGAAGTCAGTGTAAATGCTCCTGAAGAACAACATTTGGCTTAACCCAGTTGCTCTAACATTGTCTGGTGAGGAAAGGTCAAACCCACAAGCAGTCTTTGAAGAATCAGCAAAATGGGGTTTTTTAGTGTAGTTCTCAGAATTGCGTTACAAATTAAAATAGCGAATATGGGAAGAACACAAGAATCTGAATGGCAGTTACGCAATGTAAGGGACAGTTATCTCCAACAACTTGAAACTTTTCAATTAGATCGCCTAAAAGAAATACAAGTTTTTCAGAAAATTACTTTAAAAATTAAGGTCTTCATTCTCTGTTGAGATTTAGAAAGAACTGGTAACGGAGAGCGAGAATAATGACTACATGGGTCGTATGTAAGGCATATTCTAATTACAAACCACAGTGCAATGCTACCATTTTTCTCTGTTTAATTACAGTCATTATGCATTACTGATAAGTTAAATTTTCCATGTGACCTGTCAAAAGTAAGAGTGCTGCTTTCAATGTTTTATTAATCAGCAAATTGTCTTCAAACACATTTTGCAATATGAATAACCAGAGCACTAGTGTGTCAGGGGGAGTAGAACTTAACCAAATTACGTGTTTACAGCTGCATCTGAAATGATCCCAATGCATGCCGAATTAACAAAGTTGCATGCCACTTTCAGCTTCACTTAGAAATACAACAGTTTACCAGAAAGAATGGAGACTTAATAATGAAAATTTCTTAAATGCTCCTAGGATTTTTAAAGAGACAAAACAAAGCACTAAAATGTTGATTAAGGTTGTCCCAAAATAAAAAACCAGAAGTAAATGTACAGTACTTACTTTGTGAAGCGAACTCGTTTGACTGCATAGGTTCTCTCATCAAGCTTTGCTGTTGCTTTGAAAACATTCCCAAAACCACCTTCACCAATAGGCTCTATATTTTTAAAACTCTCAAGAAATCTTAAATAAAACATACATATACAGTGTAAGCATACTTAACATTAAATCTATGAGATATAAAAATGGTCCTGACAGGTCTAATACATCTGCTAAAACAGCATTTTACAGTGATCACTTAAACACACACCAGGTCTAAATCATAGTCTTGAAGATTAAGAAAACCAAGGGAAACTGACCCTTGATAGCGTGTAGGGTAATTACCCTCACATGTTCACACAAATGACCTGTGGTTGGAAGCTTTAAATAGCATTGCATTGCACTGTCAGCTGCTACGCTGTATGGGAAATTTCCAGAAAGAAACCCAAACTCGGATACGAATTTTTTTTGGAAGGTTATTTTTACAGCAGTATTTTCCCACATTCTACTATAAATAAACAAATCTAGACTCTGCACTGTAATTGCCACACAGATCTTATTAAACAAAAAATCCTTCTCACCTTTTATTTACAGTGTGTGGGCTTTCCTGATTGGTATTTGTGTCCAAATCTGGCAAACTTTCATCTGAATCTGACATCTTGTTCTTCTCTTCATTGTTTCTTGCATTATTAAAATTAACTGCCAATTTTCTTCAACAAGGATAAAAGCAAAACTTACAATGAGCCATTTTTCTAATACGTGATGAGAAGAAGAATGTACCTCCCAACAGAGGCACTTCTTTGCTAGACACAGCAACACCGAAGCGGTTTGCAGTGTAATTTATGGGAGACACCAAACCAGAAATAAACACGTACCTTTTGGATTTCAGGGCAGAGCTTGGTGCACCTCTCTACGTGAAAAAGAGAAAAAAGGTTAACAGAGATATCCTGAATCTTTCCACTCCACTTAGTTTAAAATGTGTCTGAGAATGTACCTAGGAATTGTCTATAAATGTGTTCATCCCTTGTGTAAGCAAGGTGCTAAGAGTGAAGCCATATCTTAGCCTGAAGTTTTTCTGTGTGCTACGTATGACATCACCATTCTTCCCACAGAAAAACGTGAGCTTAGTTTGCTCCCCTTTCTTGGGAATACTGCCCATTTGGTCAGCAGCACATGAAGTGGGCCTGCAGGACGGAAGTAAACGACTAACCGTGAACAGTAAGAAAGTACTCAACAGCCTTAGGGGAAATGCACATGTCTTTTCTAGCAATTAGCGGATGAAGGAACAAACTGAGGCTACACCCTGACAAGCAGCATGCTCCATTCAGGTTCTGAAATGTAGTTCTGAGGGAGACCATTTTCACAGTATACCTGAGAAGGTGAAGGTTTTTCACATACTGCCATGTCTTTCATGTTTTCTACCAACTTTGCAGCTGAGTCTTCAAAGCAAATACTGCTGCTGCTGAAAAATAATTGACTAGTTTTAGGTGAAAGTAGCACAGTCATAAATAAAATGATTGCCATGAGGAAAAAAAAAAAAGGCAGCATAAAAAAGTACACAGTTTTTAAGAGAAAAACCTGAAAAAGCATTAACGGTCATGACTGAAACTACAAAACTTTATGCTGGAAAGCTAATAAAACAGTAACATTTTGTAATAAACTCCTCTATTTCTACGACGTGACACCAGGATACCTCGATATCTGTGTGACAGACACTCCAGTATGTCCTGTAATAAAGTAGGTTAAATACAGCCATTTACTTCAAGGCAGTGCAGCCACCTCTGGCGCTGTACGTCCCAGCCTGCTTTACAGTCACACAGAGAAGGCAGCAGAAGCGGCAGTGGCACCACAGACAAACTAACTGCTGGGCACGAAAGGCTTGACCTAGCGTTCCCAAATCACAAACAAACATTATGCGTGTTGGTTGTCTTTCGCTACACCAATTCTCCCTTTGGGGAAACGAAGGTTGATGGAGAATGATAGGGGAAGGAAAAGAACAGAGAAGAAAGCAGAACGTGGAGCACAGGCAAGTACTAGAACTGAATTATACTGAGTTTGCAAGGGTGTCACAACAGGAGAGTGTTCCAAATGGCATGAAACAATGCTACTGAACCAGGTAGGTTATTCCATTCACTTCACAGTAAAAAATGCTTCTGAAAGAACTACTCATGGCAAAATACATCAGAAAACTCTATAATTATTATACGCTAACCCATAAGGACTCATCTAATTGCACAAGTACAATACATTTTGCTCTGAAGTCTAAGAAACACAAGCTCAAGTTAAATGGCATTATACTGCAACAAACTATGGCAGATTTTATCCAGAACCAGATCACATGACTCTCTAAGTAAATACATTTTGTTATCACATGATGGAACTAGATGATCTTTAAGGTCCCTTCCAACCCAAACCATTCTGTGATTATCAGTGAACCCAACTTACTCCGAGTCAGACTGAGTTGGCACTGGAGAGGAATTCCTGTGTTCACTGAATGTAGGACTGCTGTTAGATCTTTCACTTCCCATCTGAAAAAAGCAAACCAAGAATGGGTAACACATTAACGCTAAAAAATCCCTAGTGCAAAACGTGCTGTTCAAGGGGGGGTGGGGGAAGACTATAAGGTCGCAAGTGGAAGTTGTTCACTGAACATTCCAAGCCCTGTGGAAGAAAGGCATCCGCCTGACTTCCTACCCAGAGGAGGGAAACACAGGGCCCTGTTGCAGTGGGATTTTCCCGCTCATATTGACACTATATAGACACACTGGGGAAGTAGAGTCTGGGATCTAGTAACAACCAGAGTAACGGCTGTTAAACGCAAACATTTCATTGTTTACCGCATACGCGGTTGTGGAAAGCGAGACATATGTCGGCTTCGGTATATGTGATCAGCAGAACTGAAAATCTGAGTCTGCACAGAGACATTCGATGTCTTCCATGTGAAAGCCCTGCAAAACCTGGATTACTACATTGGAGATGACTGAAAAAATTAATCCTAAATACTTAGTAGAGATTCTTCCCCTTTGTTTTCCCCCATGTCATAAGAGCGTAACTGTAACATTACAAGCAACACCGACAGTTGTTACAGGCCACAACCTGACAAAGAGTAAAGATGCATAAGGGTTTACGTTTCCGTGATAGCCACCAAACAGAACCGCTTGCTTTGAATTCAGGCGTACTGCGCCTTTACTGCTTTTTGCTAGTAACATGGTTAGTTACGCAGACATTGCTGGGAATTAATAAACTTTCAAACCAAACCAAACTACCCCAAATTTAGAATAATTGCTACAGAGGTTCTGCTTGTGGTAATGAAAATGCAAAGACCCGTCAGCTTGCCACACAGGAAAATATTACGGAAGGACTGTAGAGCTATAATAGGCCATTGAGTACATGGTTAACTTAAAAACAGTAAAAGAAGCATTTAAAAGCCACAGTCAACAGCCAAATAATGAAAAAAGTACTTGAAGCAAAAAAGGAGTTCTTTCCTCCCCCGTGCTGCCTGCCCTCCCTTTGACCACGTGTCGTGGTTTAACTCCGGCTAGCAAAATACCACAAAGCCACTCACAAATCCCCCTCCCCTCCTCCAGTGGAGGGGAAAAATCAGAGGAAAAAGAAATAAGGAAGCTCATAAAATTAAGAACTATTTGCTAATTAAATCTAAATTAAAACATATGATACAGTTTCTCACCACCCACCGACCAGTGCACAACCAGGGGTTGAGTAGTGAGAGTCAGACCCAGAGAGCCCAAGAGCCGCAGCCCGAGGGCCACAGCCCAAGAGCTGTCACAGCAGATTCCAAGTGAACCCTATCAGCGATAGCAGCCTGGGAAAGCTAAACAAACCCACCAACTCCCTCATGAATGAGCCAGCACAGAAGTCAGCGAAGCAGCTAATGCAGGAGTCAGGGAGAGGGTTCGCAAGTGTACGGGAGTGAACGAGAGAGAGTAAGGGAGCGAGTAATGGCTCCCGTGCCCCGAGTATGACGTACTACAGAATGAAATACTCCCTTGGTCAGTTTGGGTCAGGTGCCTGAACTGTGTGTCGCCTTCACTGTCTGTAGCGAGACCACAAGAGCTGGGAACGCAGCTGCAGGATCAGAAGTGGAGAAAGACCTTGAATTCAGTTCAGGCATTCCCCAGCACCAGCTAAGAACTTAACAGTGCTGCTCCCTACATCCAGGAACACAGCTTCCTAGCAGCCATGGCAGAGAGAGTTAACTCTTTCCTGACTGAACACAGCACACCACGCTTTACCGAAGTTGGTTCATATGTACGGCTCTGTGCATTTCAGAAGTGGGTTTGGGTCACTGTCAGGATCCTGGTAACATTCTGCACATGTGGAATTACGATCGCCAACGTGAAGAAAACCACTCTGCTTTCCAGAGGATGGTGCCAGCAGTTGCTTCACCAGGCTCTGCCCCGGAACACTGCAGAGGGTAGGTCCAGTGGATTCCCGCTCCTGCTCAAGGACACCACTTTGCACAGGAGACCACCAGTGTGCTGGCAAGGATTCGGAAGGTTTTAACAGATGCGTGCCTTTGAGTGACAACACATCTCTGTGTATTGCAGAACACGGTCTGATAGCTGCTGCGAAATTTGTTTTTTAAATCCAGCAACTGAATACAGAAACACAACATGAATTTTACCAACAGCATCCTGTAGCCCAACCGACCCACCAAAATATGAATTGTTACCCACTTCAGTGAAATCCGTGGAATATGCTTTTAAATACAATGAAGAAATCTGTTCAAAGATACAAACACTAAACTTCTGTCTTAAGGCTAAATACAGCACATACTGTTAGACTGCCTTCCTTATTGAGCTTCTCAAACGCTTGTTTGGCAGCAGCTTGTTTTGCAGCACCCAGAGAAGATCCAGTGCCAATTCCATACACTAACCCAGCGATTGTACAGGTGCACGAAAACCTGTAAAATAACAACAAGGAAGAGAGTCACATATCCCGTACGACAGGATTCATTTAACGATTTTAAACACTACAGTCAGCAGGCATTACAAAGTGGAAACCTGAAATACACATCTTCAGAACAGTATTTCCAGGATAAATTTAATCGACTTAATAATGGTAGATAACGCATCTGACATGCCTTCAAGGAAACTACTTTCAGAGAGTGAATATTTAGCACTTTGTAAGGTTGAACTCCTCAAAGCACCTTATCATACGCACCCACAATCACAAACTATCTGTGGTTTCTGTTTTAAAAAGGCTGATTTTGCAGGGGAAAAGAGGAGGAGTTTCCCAGCAGATATTGTTAGGGGAGTTCAAATATGTAGATATTCCTTATCCTCCCCCAGCTGTCATTAAGTGTAATGTTTCTCCATCTCACTGACCGGAGTACATACAAAACGAGACACAAACAGGCTCTCTTGGCGCTTAGTTCCTAGGGGTCTCCAAAATACACCCCAAGAGGTACACAAAGGTGCCAGAGCTACAACCAAGGTAACTGACAGTTTGTCAACACCAACTGCCATACTGTCATCACTCCATCTCTTCTCTCAGCTCAGTTCTCTTAGCTTCTCCTCCTGTGCCATACCCCCCAACTCTTTAACCAGCCAGTGGCCCTCTACTGGACTTGTCCCCAGACTACCCCCGAATTTTAATGGTACTTCTAAAGGTTTGTCTAACACTGCTTGGGCAATTAATGGTACTGTTAGTAAACACAAAGAAGTATTAAAAGCAAGCACAAAGACAAAGGACATCTTACATGGGAGCATGGGCATCTCCAGTACGTTTTGTTTTAGGGTAATCAACTATTTGCAGCGTCCTCTGCGAATAAATATTTAGTAGGCTGACATAGTTGATGGCTGGTGCAGCTGATAAGGTCACTGGAGTTGTCATTAATTCTGCATCTTGTGCATTTGAAGGATTCTTTGGCTATAAAACAAACAAAAGAGGTAACTTGAAAACTTAAGCTTAATAAATAGATTAAGATAAACAGTGCAGGAGATCTAATACAGCTTCAGAGTTTGTCAGCATTTCAAAATACTTTTAAGAAATGCCAAGTTGGCACTAACAGGTCCCGTGTGGCAGAGAACAGTCATCCCAGCCCAGAATTACTACATTTTGAATTTTCAAAGAAATGTAAATCCAGTTTTCCAAGTATTGCACCAATGTCTTTTTTAACAACCTATCACCATGTCTCATCCCACCTCTTTTCTTAAAAGACAGGGAACGAAAACGTGAAATGTCTCATAACATACAAAAAAAAGCAGCGAATGCTGCCTTCTGAATTTTCTCACAGACTGACCAGAGCCAAGAACAGGGTTGGCAGCAGGGTGCTGCCGATGCTGCAGTGAGCGAGGGCTGCAAATGCTCCTGTGCAAGAGAGGGAAAAGCAGGACTTCTCAGCTGTCTCATGATTAAGCAGTATTAACAATATGTTAGCAAACATGCAGCAACTGTGTTAATCATAGAATAATGATGGTGACACAGCAAAAAGCACATGGAAAAAGGGAAGGAAAGATTTACTCGAAAGGTGCTGAGAAGAATTCTGGGTCAGAAAGAAAAATGAAAAGTGGCTACCACAAATCACATGGCAGAAAACAGAGGAACAAAATCCAAACCTAAAGTAAATCAAGGGAGGATAAAAAGTATAGAACCAGCTATATGGTTAAGAACAGAACAACAGGGATGCATCAGATCAAGTGAAAGGGAGCAATCTTAGGAGCTGAGTGGCAAGAGACACACCGAACAACACCCTGTTTTGAATTAACACAGTCCATTTGGGTTGTACCAAGGCAGCTTAACAAAGGCAAATACATTTCCTCATCCTCCCTTAACAGCAGAGGAGGAAACACTCTGGTATTACATACCAATCCTGTAGCAGAACAGTAAGGAAAATAGTTCAATGGCAAAAGGTAGAAAAGCACTGAATAAGACAGAACAAAGACAACTTAAATAAATATTTAGAAACTCTTCCAAATTAAACAATGACGACTTATTAGCTACTTTTAGAGATTCATCTTCAAACTTTACTAGCAAAAAAACCCAAACAAACTTAAGAGTTTACTCACCTGTTTCTTAATCATTTCCCAGGTTTTTTTGGCTGCTACTGCTTTCGCTTCCTTCTTATTTTTACCAGTGCCTGTACCATATTGTACATCGTTTATTTTAACCACAACTGTGAACCTGCAATGAAGGAAACTTTCCTAAAATACTGTTACATTTTGTCTCATATATGCTTAATAACCTGCTCCGATGCCACTTTGTTATCTACAAAGCAGTCTAAGTTAACTGTGGACCCATTTAAGTATCCATGTGTTTTTACTATATCTAACTCCTGATTATCCTAATTCTTTAGTAGAAATATTTTTTTAAATGCTTCCTCCCTAATCACAAATGCATGTACTTTATCAGTTCTAACAGTATTTTTAAATGTTTAATTGCTTTTTTAAGGCAAAATTACAAGCAAAAGAACACATTGTTAAAGGCAAGGTTGGGAAGCCCTAACACCAGGACCATCTTGGTACTGCAAAACTGCATGGAGGGGACAGATGAGTTAACCTTGATTTCACAGGTGCTGACATGGGTTACACCTGGGTTGGGGAAATCCTAA